CCCTACAGATTACCACACTTTTTTTATTTGTTTGTTCTTTTAATCTTGACATTTCTTACACATTGAATTTCTGAACTGTACTGGGAGAGACATTTTGCCCATCTGGCCATTAAAACTCCAGCTTTAAAGCAGGAATAACCATCCCATCTGGAGAAAGCACTGCACTCTTATGTGTGGTGGTAAGTTACAGCTCGTTTTTTAATGCATCACAGGGGTAAAGTTGATCCCACTACAGTATACTAGTCTCAGAATTTGCCCTGAGACACAGCAGTTACACTGCCTACTCAATTATATATTCCATCACAAAACCTTCTTCTCATATTCACATGAATTACAAGTTTATCAAGTAGGATAGCTAACAAAACAAACCATACTTCCCTTCAAACTCCTAACATGTTAATGAAAATTTCAAGCACACTAAAACCCTCTGCCTATTGATTTGTTTTAACCATAACATAAAGACAAGATGATGTATTCAATATAGTAATTAATTGCTATTTCGATTTTAGAAAAAAAAAAAGGTTATTCTGAAATTTAAAGAGAGTATTTGTAGCCCTTGGAAAACACCACATTGCTGAATCCAGTCATGCTGACATTCCTCTAGCCGGGAATCTCTTAGCTCTCCCAGGGTATAAAAGTTAGAAAAACATGTATCAAGCTATACATCTTCCTCTGAAATAGGTAGAACTGCCATGTGCAATTAGGGTAATAATTAAAGAATTTTCTTTAAGCTGCATCATGCTGGGTTTCTGTTTCAGAAGAAAAAGATAAACTGAGCTATAAGGAGAGTGCTGTCCAGGTGTGTAGTTCACATGGCCGTGCTAACTTGGGATGAGAGGACAACACATGAATTCAAAACCAGCCTACAGGGTATGTGAGTGACCACACACACACACACACACACGTAGATCTGTTTCTCTTAACCTCTCGTTTAAGAAAGAAGCATGCTGAATCATGAGGGAGGAAGAAAGGCAAGCAGGAGGCAAATGTGCAAGTGAACCACGCATCTTAAAAACCTCCAGTTACAGCTGAATAACTTGTTTTCTAACTTTAAGTGACAGTCCAAGCATTCATTCACACTTAACACCAGACTCGAGTCCCCAGCATGAAAGTGATAAGATGTCTTGAAGTCCCTTCACAAAAACAGCAGCCTCAGTGGTGTTCTGCCAAACACAGTATCCTTTCTGGGTGAAATGCAGCAATGGGACAACACAGTTGTGAGCTGTATGCCCTGTCAACATCATGCAGATTTCAAGACATCCTTGAATAAAGATAACTTGAAATCTTGAGGAATGTGTTTTTATGAATGTGAAGAAGAGGACTGGGGAGGGAGGTCATTCATCTGTGGCACATTTGTATCATAATTTCATTCATGTTCTTATCCTGCTTGACAGGCTTTGTGCAACAGCGACTGTGACATTCAGATCTCTCGGCAAGAGAAATAAACAATCCTAAGCACCTGAAAGACTTAAAGCAAATGTAACAAAAGGACACAAGCCCCTTGACATTTAAGAGTGCAATGACCCAAAAAGGGTGAGATCTATGAAAAGAAGCAAGTAGATTAAATTAAATTCTATTAAAATCTTAGAGAAAAAAAAAAAAAATGGTCTTGAGGGAAACTGAGTACTGTTTAGTCATTTGAATGTGCTGTCCCCTTCTGCACAGGTAAGAAAGAATAGCAATCTTCCTTTGTAAATGTACACTAAGATGGTGAACAGAGACCACTGGCTTCCAGATTACCCAAGAATTTAAAGTTACTTGTACAATTCAAAGGGCTTTGTCACCATTAAACTGCTATGATGAGGAAAAAGAGAAGTCATCTTTATGTTAAACAAAACTTTGGAGGTACACAAAATAAACTCACCTTTGCAGATTCTATATTCGTATTTTAGTTTGGACATCAAACAAATATATGTCAAATAAATACATGCTGCTCTGCTCAACCTGTGGGTCAAGTTTGCAGGTTATCACTGAGATTATCACAGCCAGACAATACTGCAAGAATGGGTCTTGGCTGACAGCAAATTCTTTTTGCCTCCATTAAGGGTCAGAATGATTTGAAATGTGGGTCTCAAAGAGCTCGAGTAATTGGAAAACTTCTACAGCATTCTAAGGACAGCATTGAATCTGTTACTTCAAGGAGAAAGAACACATGCTTTCTGGTAGGGAATTTTTTTTCAAGAAACTTTCTGAAATGATGCTATTATTTTAGCCAAAGTCACTTTTTTAATTTAGACTTGTCTTTACAGAGGATTTAATGATTGAAAACTCGATGGATCTCTATTATCTTCCCTATACAGTTCCAGAAAGTAGCTATGGTAAGACAGACCTCCTGTCTGAAACAAGTAAGGACTGGCTCCTGGAGCCACAAGAGGGCTGGTGCCTTGCCCAAGTAAACCCTGGTGAGAACGGTTTGAAGAAGGAATGAGAGAAAATCTGAGGCATGTAAATGGCACTGAGCTGCACTGAGGATTGTGTGATCTTCTTGGCAATTGTGGCTGCTGTTTATTTTTAACTTTCAATCAGGATTAAAAAAAAATAATAATAAAAAAAAGACATGGAGTGATTTGGATTGAAAGATCTAAACAAAGCCTTATTTTTATATGAAGAAAAAGTATCTTTGAAGTGATGTCCTAGATTCTCTACAGGATTTTATCTGTTTTTCAGTTAAGTAAATGTGGCCCATCAAAAACCTGTAAGACATATAACCATACATCCAAAACAGTAACTGCCTTGCACAGTTCCAAGGAGAAAAGAGGCAAAATTTCTGGTGGTGATGGCAGCTACCTGAGGAACTGTATCAGTGGTATCTGCAGTCTGCTAATTACTAAGTAATCTCTGGCAAGAACTTGCCCAAAATTGGGTTTCAGCACAGAGAAGTCTCCCCAAAAGCCAGGACATGAGGATTCTTCAAGGTCTCCCAAGTACTCTTTATGGTTTTTTTTACAATTATCAAACAAGCCTTGATAATTAGATGGCCTTAATTAAAAATTAAGACTTATTTCAGACACCCCTAGCTTTGGTGATGTTCCCAGTCTCCTTTTCTCTCCTCTCATAGTGACTATCAATGAAAGTGTTTTATGATCACAAGTCCATAGTAAGGACTTGGAATTTACAATCCTCTCCTCTTGCTGAGTAGCTCTTAAAGGAATGCACTTGAGAAGGTGTCTACAAAAGAAGGATCTAAAGCATCTAATTTACTAGTAAAGAACCTCAGCAAGATGAAACAATGTAGAAAGTCCAGTGATGCCTAAAGGAGTTACTTGAATACTGAAGTGTTTCCACACAGCCATCTTTCTCTTCTAGGTAGCACGCCAGAGACCTCTCAGTTCCAATAACTTTTCATAACAGAGAGTCAAGAGGGCAGAAGGGACAGGAATACAGGTTCAGCACTGAGTAAACCAGCAGCATCAGTTACCTCAGATAGTTTCAGCCAGGAGTATGTCCATTTCAGTAATGCAGAGGCACAAGCACAGGATATGATCAATGTTTGCTGTAGCAAACACCAGCTGGGTGTTGCTGGTTCTCCACCTTGTATTCCTGTGGAACCAACACCTCTAAAAAAACAGGGGTGAAACAGATCCTGACAGCATCTACAGCCTCTGTCAAAGCAGCATCTCTACTCTTTGCCAAGCCTAGTCTCTGACTGTAGATTTTGAAATCTGGAAGAAAGGGACCTAGGAAATCCAGGATCTCAAACACAACCTTCCAATATTCTTGGCCTGCAGTGCCTACGACTAGGATCCTCCATAAGAATTAGCACAGGTGTTCCCCTGACCACACAAGGTATGGAAGAGCTCTGGCATTGGGACCACATTCCAAGCAGAACCTTGCAAAGCTATTTCCACACCATGCTCTAAAACAGACAGGCAAGGTTCAGTGAAGCAAACCAAGGGGAAAAAAAAGTTCCCTCTCATGTAGGAGGTTGAAGGGAAATGATAATATGTACTGGGGACCAAGAGAACAAAGCAGATCTTCAGATATAATCAGGCAAGATATTAGGCAAGTCTCAAAAGCATTTTCTGTGCCATCTATCTAAGGTCAATTTAATTCACTGTTCAATGAAAAGTTCCCTGATTGATTGCCTGTATTCACCTGAGAAGACTCATTTCAGGCATGTGTGGGAATAATCAATGAAACAAGAGCTGAATACAAAGAGTAGTCTGCCTCCCAAAATGTGTTACCTCTAGAAAACCATGAAAACAATTCCTTCTGACTGCTTCATGGCAAAAGGGTCTCCAGTACCATTGGTTTCTGGAATTTATGGCTTTCAGCTTCTAACAGCTGTTTCTGGCTCAGTTGTGCTTTTTTAGCTATGCACAAATCTGAGTAGACTTCCATAACCTGTATCTCTATGGAAAATAATTAACAACGGTCTGGAAATAATTAATATTAATATTAGAGATGGCACAAAGAACTTTGGAGTTTGAGGGCCAAGAATCAGGCAACCTGGATCTTCTGGAAAACTAGGCTCATTCAAATACTGCCAAATGCATTCAGGAATTAATGAGGCTCATCCTTGAAGTAAAGTGTAGAAAAGAACCACAAAAATGGCTTGGAGCCTGGGCCAAGCACCTTGCCATGATAACAAGTCTGCATAATAAGTTAAGATGCACTACATAATGTGCAGAGCCTAAAGCTCCAACTTCTTTGTAGATGCTGCCTGTTCAGATTTTAAATAGCTATGGCATACTTTTAGAAAGATCACAGGCTTTGCCAAAACTGTTATTTCCTGAATTAGCATCCTCACCAAGTTTTAATGTGCTTCTATTGCACAATCCATATCGTGGTTCATTCATGTTACCAGTTCTTAGTTTTCATCTGTGTGTAAACCTTCTGTACCAAACGATATAATGTATTAAAAATTAAAGTTCAAATTAACATTTGAAAAAAGACGCTGGTTTAAGAAAGAGATTAATCAGTGGAACAGATTCCTGTAGGGAGGAGTGAATTCTCTATCTTTTGAATATTTCAGATCTAGACTGGCTATCTAGCAAAAACTTTCCAAGAGTCAAACGAGTCACAAACAAAGAAGTGGAGGACAACAGAGACATGGGGCTCCTGAGTGTAACAGTTCTCTTTTTAAGAGAAACACATCACAAAACCCGTTCCATGACGTTTCTGGGCTCCACACCCAAATTAATTGAATTTAAATATATGGGTGATGTTTAAACAAGAAGTCAGACTAGACGACATGGTGCTTTTATTATGGTCTACTAACCTATGAAAGCAACTCTTTTACCTCCATTTTCAGTATGATAGAAATGGCAGAACAGTCCTGTTATTACTTTAGCAATGAAAATAAAGACTTTAAGCTAGTCCACAGGATGCAAAACCACTGTTTTCAATTAGATGAAAACTCATTTATAGTGATGTCAGCAATTTTGATTTTAAAAGTTTAAGCTGCACTACAAGACTCCACCCTGTTGCATTGTATTATCTGACCATAATACAATAATTCTATTATTGTCAGATGTTTTATGGACATTTCAGTATAATATAGGCTTTGTTGGAGCTGAAGAGCAATGTTAGAACCATACTAAGCAAATAGCAGGCACCCCATTAAAGAGAAATAGGGAGTCCAAATGTTTTCCTCATCTGCAAAATGAAACAAATACAAAAAATATTTTAATCCCCTGTTAATTGTATTATCCCTAACTAGCATTTTTTTGTGTTTTGTAAGAAGGTTCCAAACTCAAAAATAATTTCCAAATGCAAAGAAAGCCAGTTTCTTAGCCCGAGAGTATGTATGTATTGATTGAAGTTGAAATCTTGACATTTTCTCACATGAAAGCTAAACATTAAATTCAATACCTTTTTTTAAGTTGTAATTTATATAACCAAGTAGCCTCCTGCTATGTTCAGGGATAATGTGGAAAATACAAAGCTGACATTCAAAAGCTGTCTTTGAAAGTTTGAAGTGAATAACAGTAAAGTTTCAGAAGTTTAAAAGTTGACTTCAAAAAAGTGCTGTTTGAGCATTTTTTCACTATCCATTGTTGCTATAACATTATGATTTTTATTACTGAAGAAAAAAAGCCCATAGCATAAGTTTTCTTTGCACACTTGATTGGTCTGTGCATACTCTGCTTCACAAAAAACCAAGGAATATACAGTTGTAAAATACGAGATGTAAAAATGCCATCTATATTTTACATACAGAATCACAGAATGGTTTGCAACTTCTAATCCAAGCACGATGCTCACCTGCAATGTTACACTGACCTCTGAAGTTCTATCTACTGCTCAACCTTTTTTTTTTTTTTTTAAACACAGCAGAACTGTATTTTAACTTGTGAATACGTAACATAACTTGCTGTTAAACAATATGCACTGAATTATATTGCACAAAATTATTTTAAAGCAGAGATTTTGAGAGTGTGGCTGCATTCATAAGGTAGGGAACAATGTATTATGGAAGTCCTACCATACTGACAGCTGATCTGCCCTTCACTCCAGCTCCCAACCCTGTTGCTCACCCATCCTCAGCAGGCAACAGCAGCACTGCAGCCTGACCTACTGCAAGGACAAAGGGTCAGAACCTGCCATACAGACTTGCAGGCAGTTGGAAGCCAGTCTGTGCCACTGCAGACTAGATTTAAATCATAAAATGGTTTGAGTTGGAAGGGACCTTAAAGACCATCTAGTTCCAACGCCCCTGCATGGGCAGGGACACCTCCCACTATGTTAGGTTCCTCAGAGCCCCATCCAACCTGGCCTTGAACACTTCCAGGAAGGGGGCAGCCACAACCTCCCTGGACAACCTGTGCCAGTGTCTCACCAACCTCACAGGGAAGAATTTCCTCCTAATGTCTAACATAAATCTCCTCTCTTCCAGTTCTGATCCATTATCTCTTTTCTCTCACTACAAGCCCTTGTAAAAAGCCCCTCCCCAGCTTTCCTGTAGCCCCTTCAGGCTCTGGAAGGCTGCTATGAGGTCTCCCTGGAGCCTTCTCTTCTCCAGACTGAACAACCCCAACTCTGTCAGCCTGTCTTCATAACAGAGGTGCTCGAGCCCACAGATCATCTTCATGGCTCTCCTCTGGAGAGGAGCTCCAAAACCTCCATGTCCTTCTTGTGTTGGGGGCTCCAGAACTGGACACTGGGGTGTCACGAGAGCAGAGCAGAGGGGCAGAATCACCTCCCATGACCTGCTGGCCATGCTTTTTTTTATCCAAAGAGCTATTCAGTGATCTTACTTAAGGAAGACACACACCTAAATGATCAGCAGTTCAAAACTGGCCAAGTAAAAGATTTCATACTAAAACAGGTTAGGTAATTACTTTGGGCAAAGTAAAAAATAACAACAAACCCTCAACCTCTACTGGCAAAAACACAGTAGAGCCTACATTTTCTAGATCTTATCACTATGGAAATAATTCACTTAGAGTGGCTTAAGTCCACTTCAGCTGTAACTGAAAGCACCTAGATGAGAGTGGGAGTCCACGTGCAAACTGTAAGCACAACAGATACGCTTTTGTAGTTGATTAGCTTGACTGCTTTGATGGCTTGTCTACACCCTGGAATGAAACCTGGTGTGGTGACCCCTCTCCTCCCCTACTAGGCACCTACGGCACAAAATCTATCTTGTCCTGGAGTTTTTCCTCAGCTGAAGCAACTTAACATCCATTCATCCTACCAACTACTCTAGTGAATAAACTATACCTCACTCTTGCAGTAACGTTACCTTCTAATTAAATATTAAATAATAGTATTAGAAATAAAATTATAAATGGAAAAATAGTTATTGCATCAGAAACATGATCTTGGAGTCTACAGATGCTAAAATCAAGAAAGACTGTATATCAGGGATATCAGCTACTTACAATGAAAAAAATGCAGCTTGTGAACAAAATTGTTACTGCAGTTCAAGAGTAATAAACCACAATACATATTTGATAGCAAAAAAAAAAAAAAAAAAAATAATAAGTTTAAGAAATAATCAGCTCTTCAAGGGCTATTTGCTTGAATTAATTTACCCTCATTTTATCCATCCAAGAGCAGGCCTGGAAACAATAATCCAAACTTGTTAGGTGGGTTCTTCTTCCAGCTCAACTTCGCAGTGGCATGACTGACAGATAATTTTACTGTTCTGTTTAAAGCCTCACAGACTCATGATAAGGATCTCTAGGATCAACTTTTCTTCCTGCCAGAAAACTGTAATCAACTCTTATTTCACACCACTCTGGAAGAAAAATGAGACCACTAAAGTCTAAAATTTGTATCAAGTGTACAACACTGCTTGTTGTTAGAGTGCTGCTTTCCAGAGAACTCTGATCTTATCAGAATAGGAAACACACGTTTGCATTCTCAAACTAGCATTTACCTTGAAAAAGTGATGTTCTCAATTGCATTTAAAATGTTGCAATGTACTATCAAACTGTATGTGTAGCGTTTCAGTATGGACAGAAATAGTTTGCATCTTTTCACCACTTCAATAACAGCTGAAGCCAGAGAAATTTCACACTCATACCAAAAGCAAAACTAGAGCAAGCCAAAAGTCATCTGAGCAGCATGTTGTACCTCTGACTGCACTGCAGGACTCCCTTGAGCATGCCCATACTATTATAAACACTCTACCTCACATCAGCAGTGACATACCTGCTGAGTTCTGGCAATATTATACAACGTTTTGCCCAGTCCTCCTAATCTATTCCAGTCTCTCTTAAAGGGGTAAAGAAAATGCCCTAAATTCAGTGAAGCGGCTAAGACTGGGGAACAGATCTCATGTGTGATTTACAGAAAAGATACAACAGCTCTTAGAGAAAAAGGTGCTGGGGTGTCCCCTGCGTAGCAGATCCAGTTCATTTTGTGAAATACAAGAAAGGGGGGAAAGAAGATGCTACCTCAGCTTGTAAGAAAGCAAGCTTGACGAGCTCTCTGAGTGTTCATCTTCAAAGCACTCTTCCCTTCCTTCATATGTAAACTGGTTATATGGCAAATACAGAGGTGTAGACTTAGCTGATGGAGACTGTGAGGCCTCTGTCTGGGATGTAGAAGGACCCGGCTGCTGATTTTCATGCATTTTCACATCGCTGTGGTCTGTCACTTTGGATAAGATCCTATCAATGGTTTTGTAGTAAGGCCAGTCAGGTGCAACAGTCTCACTGTCAGTCATGCATTTTAATTTCCTGTAAAAAAAAGGCATGCAACATTAAAGCTTGTTTTCCTATTAAAGTACTTTTCATACAGATCTATCTATCTCAAAACATTTGTTCTGGTCACATTTAGGAGTCAAACTGAATGCTTCTAATGAGAATAAATTTCGACACATCTTTTAATCTCCAATGAAGCCTGTCATTTTCCTTTCCTAGATCTACCTGTGACTAAAAGGTGCACGTAAACACTAAATGAAATAAAATACAAATAAAGAACATTATAACCTCAAATAGAACCAGTACTATGTTGGTTGTAGAGTAGTTTTTCTTCCCCTCACAGAGTGCCAGACTAACCAAACTGACAGCAGTCCCCAACACCTAGAGTAGGCAACACACCACAGCCTCTACCAAACTATGGGCAGCCCTGTACTTGCATGCTTCACAGAATGAGTAGTTATTTTCCATTATGAACACCAGTGGCTATAAAAGTAATTCATGTCTTTCTTAAATCTTTTTCCTAATATTGCCAGAAGCTCTGAATTGCCCAGGTTAAAAAGATAAATAAATTTTGAAAATTAAAAAAAATAAATAAATAAATAAATCACACACCACCTAATAAACAAACCCAGTGAAAACAGTTAATAGTGCATTATAAACTGCATGCACAAAAACACTACAGATTATCAACCATCATCTTATCTTTCATATGCATCTTATTGTGAGATCTGTTGCTCAGCCCTAACACAAAGTTCACAGCTATCTCACTTGCTACCCATTGTTATTTCTTTTACTGAGAAATCTAAAAGTGAGGTGTGTAGATAAACTATACATCTTAAAGAAACTCCAGCACCCAGCTGGAGTCCCAAACTTTCTTGTCATTTTCCTGTTCCAGTTGGGAACTTGTTCCTCTAAATCAAAAAGCAGCAAGGGAACACAACAGGAAAGGCAAGATCAATGACCAATGCCCCATTTTCATAAACCAGATTCCATTCAAATTAACACAAAGCTGAACCAAATTTGATTCTCCCAGCTAGAAGACATTTCCATTTGCAGAAAAAAAGGATAAAAACTATTCCTGGACAAGTGGCCCACCCCCTTTTCTTGAAGGCTGTCAGGTTTTTCCTCCTCTGAATCTCTCCTGCCTACACCAGTCCTGCAAAGGGTAGAATTAAATAACTTGTAAACACAATTACAATGGTGCCAAACTTAAAAGTGAGAACTTGAAGTTCTTCCTTTTAAACAGCTCTCAGCCTAGGGTAAGGGGATATCCAACAGCGAGGAAAGAAGGCAGAAAGATTTGCTTAGACTTTAAAGCCATTTAAGGATTCTTCTTTTTTTGCAAGGTCTGATGAGCTTTTCCAGCTCTTTAGGAATGCACATCATAGTCTCACATAGCAAACCCTCCATAGCCCATCCATATTTTTTATGCCCTCTATGCATTCAAAATTGTAATTCCATACAGGTTTCACAACCTGCTGCTGCAACCTTAAAGCCAGAGAATATCTAGCATGACCTACCAATACACACATATCCATCAAGGACAGATAGAAATAGCTAAATGCAGGCTGACAGCAACACAATCACAGAATCCTAGAATGGTTCAGGTTGGACGGGACCTTAAGGATCATCTAGTTCCAATCGCCCTGCATGGGCAGGGACACCTCCCACTAGACCAGGTTGCTCAAAGTGCCATATCCAACCTGGTCTTGAACTCTTCCAGGGAGGGGGCATCCACAACTTCCCTGGGCAACCTGTTCCAGCATCACTTGATATTAATTTTAGTTGGATTATTTAGGCTATTATACATGAAACCTGTATCAACTAAACCACTATAAGCTGCCAGCCAAGTCTGCATTTCACATCTGTTTGCCTATGTTGAAGTCCCCAATATATTCAAGCAATGGGGTTTAAAACATTACCATCCTCAGCTGCTCATTGCCCTGCATTCACCATGGACAGTCAGACCATGGGCAAGACAACAAAAAGCCATGTGTGAGCACATCCCAAACATGCCAGTGCCCAGTTCCACAGCTCTACTAAGATTTGATGGGACATGGAACAAAAATAAGGACTACCATCCATTTGGAGTATAACATCCCAAAGTGGATACATGGATATTCTTGGAGACTGTGTCTAAAGGGTTTCTGCTGTCAAGCTGGACAACTGACATCACTCACTCTACCCTCATTCACAAGACATAGTCATTCATTCAAAGAAAGCAAGTGGGTCAGTCAGATATGATGAACTCTTAGTAAATCCGTTCTGGCTATTTCCAGTCACCATTTTCTCCTTTATGTGACTGGAAATTGCTTCCAAGATGGCTTCCTCTGGGATCTTCCTAGGAGTCGAAGGGAAAATGATCAACTATTAGTTCTTGTCTTTTATGCTGATGGGTTCAACAGTGGCTTTTCTTGAGTCCTCAGGGACCTCCCTCAATCTTCACAAACTTACAGATGTGATTCCTGACTCAGTTATTTTCTCCTACTGGTATTTCATCTAATCCTGCTCCAGGCACAACAGACTGAGGCACCTGGGCAATGAAGAGTGAGATAAAGAAAGGTGCCAAGTATCCTCAGCCTTATTACTATCATCTGCTTTCAGTAAATCACCCACCCCTGGATGTGATTTTCAGGGCAACCCTCAGTATCAATACAGGCTGGGGGATGAGTGGATTGAGAACAGCCCTGAGGAGAAGGAGTTAGGGGTGCTGGTGGATGAGGAGCTCAACATGGGCCAGCAATGTGCACTTGCAGCCTGGAAAGCCAATCGTGAGCTGCATCAAAAGCAGTATGGCCAGCAGGCTGAAGGAGGTAACTGCCCCTCTGCTCTGGTGAGACCCCACCTGCCCCACTGTTCAGTTCTGGGGCCCCCAACGCAAGAAAGACATGGAGCTGCTGGAGTAAGTCCAGAGGAGGCCATGAAGATGATCAGAGGGTTGGAGCAGGTCTCCTATGAAGACAGGCTGAGAAAGATGGGGTTGTTCAGCCTAGAGAAGAGAAGGCTCTAAGCAAACATTATAGTGGCCTTGCAGTGCCTGAAGGGGCTACAGGAAGACTGGGGAAGGGCTTTTTACAAAGGCACATAGGGATAGCATGAGGGGCAGTGGTTTTAAGCTAAAAGAGGGTACATTTAGGTTAAACATTAGGAAGAAATTCTTCAGTGTAGAAGTGGTGAGACACTGGCATAGGTTGCTCAGAGAGGTGGAAGATTCCCCATCCCTGGAAACATTCAAAATCAGATTTGATGGGGCTCTGAGCAACCTGGTCTAGTTGAAGACATCCCTGCATATTGCTGCGGGTTGGACTAGATAATCTCTAGAAGTCTTTTCCGAGCCAAACCATTTTATGTTTCTACAGAAAGTTTTCAGGAGTAGGTGTTCTGCCCAAGTAGGTCAGTACCTTGGTTTTTTATGTTTGAGCTTAGCTGTATAGCCAGACTCCATTTTTTTCACAAAACTGTGAAGGTTTTGAAGGAAGAGCTGTTGTTTATTTATCTGCTCACACAACGGTAGAGTTGAAGCTGTATAAAACCAGGTATTTCCCTGGCTCTGAATGCATTGAATGGGTACTAATTCTTCCACTTCTGACTCCGTGCCATAGCTCTGGGCTGAAAAAAGGGATCACAAACAAGAGGTAGGCAAGAGAACTTCATTGGCTTAAAAGCAGCACCAGTGGCAACCATCTACCTGTATGGAGTCTGGCTCATACATAAAGGAAAAAGGATGAAATTGATGGAGAGATGAGAAGATAAGGGGAAGGGAGTGTCAGCCCTCTGGAAAACAAACAGGAACACTGCAGGTGGAGGCAAAAAGGCAGAACATTTGCTGGAATAGTGGTGATGGTGTAGCTTTCTGGTAAAACAAACCAAATAGGTGATTTGGTTATATTAATATCAAGTTTTAGGATTTACTGATTTTCAGATATTTTTTCCTACAACTGCTGGAAGCCCAGAAAACCAAGTGAGACAGCTGTGAAGTTTTGCCTGTATGAAAGTAAGCATAACCCTGCCAGAACTGAAGTCTAAAGCAAAGATGAATTTACTGCTCTAAGTCAGTCATTACTGCAACTCAACACAGCAGGTCTCAGTTGCATCCAAAATGAAAAGCTGGGGGTTTGTTCTTCTTCTTCCTATGTAGTTTCTGTTTTAATGAAAAATGTAGAAGTTAAAAGGAAACGAGGCAATAGCAAGGCTGGGATGCAATAGTCCAGAAATGAGAGAGGAAGACGAGCCAAGCGTTCAACACTGAAAACACACACTTGGCATATCCCTGCCTGAGTGAGCAAGCCAGGCAGAAAGATTAGGTAAGAAACAGGGGTAAGTAAGAAAGTCAGCAGAGCTTGCAAAATAAATTCACGCTTGGTTTATCTCAACTTGTTGCTGCTTCATGAAGCTCTATTAAAACCCAGCTGAGAGGAGAGGCGACCAAGAACTCTCTTCCGGAAACACAGGGATCAAAGCCAGGTTTTGAGTGGACAGACATCTGAAGTATGAAAAACACTGTCAACCCAGTCAGCTCGAAAGGTGGTCACTTGTCTTATTGCAGAGAAGTGAATAAATTAATGGGCGTTGAGATCCTACTGCCAAAATGCTCCACTGAATGGCCTGAGACACCAGTTGAGTAATTTCTGCTGCCATTGACCTTTCCTCAGACTTTATTCTCTCTGCCTATTAATCTACCTTCTAAAATAAAATCATTACATTATTATGTTCTGGAGAGATTTTTTAAATCATTATTCAGCCAGTAAAAAGCAAGCAATCTATAACATGGGGATGGGAGCTTCCCTCTTTTTCTCAAAATACTACTGCTTTTTTATTATTATTAGTGTGCTTGATATTAGTGCTTGCCTTAAGGAATGGATACAAGATCCACCTCTTGGGGTTTTTGAGAAAAGCTTTCAAAATACATAATAAATAGCAACTGTTCATGAACCAATCAATGGTGAGAAAAAGATGTATGAATTTACAGTACTAAGTTGTGCATCTGCTCCAAGTTATTGAAATTAAAAAGAAATCTGGTAAAATATTCAAATTCA